TTGCGCATGCGCCGGTGCGTCTCGTGAAAACCAACGTTTGTTTACAGGATCAAAAGAAGCAAAGTTTCCTTACTTTAGCAAAGGAAAACCAGTCTCCTCTTGGCTTATATCGAAATCCTCCGACATTCTTCTTTACAAATCCTCGTTTTGTACTTCTAATTAGTGACCGTTGTTTTGTTTCGATCTCTCCGCGTGCGTCACTTCTGAGTGGCGCATGAGCAAAGCTGACCTCATACGTCATTCCCCCGGAACTGCTTCCGTTTAAAACAGTGAGCGCAAGCTAGATTCAAGTGATTATTACATTTTGAATATGGATATTTTTCTTACAAAAACGCATCGATTCGCTACAGGAGGCCTTTGTTCACCCCCCGGAGCCGTGTGAGACACTTTTTTTTTGTGGAAGGGTGCTTTTTATTTCACGTCATTTGAACCGAAGCAATGCAACACCCGCTGAGTACAACGATAGAGCTTGAAAGATCAAAGACAATTTTTAATATAACTCTGACTGGATTCGTCTGAAAGAAGAAAGTCATATACACCTAGGATGACTTCAGGGTGAGTAATTTATGGGCTAATTTAAATTTTTGGGTGAACTAACCCTTTAATTCCATACTTAAATTTTACTTAAATATGCGTGCAAAAACTTGCAAAATAAATATTAAGTAAATTTTACTTCTTGTTTTTTTTCAGTGATAGCGAACAACTTGCTTCAATCATCACTTATTGTAAAATTACGATTCAGCGTTGTCTATTAATGTCTCTGACACATACGATCAAACTGGTGGATTAATCAAAACTGTTTTTGTACTGTGTATATTTGGCCTTTTCAACATCGTTATAATGTTAAGTGACTTTCTTGAGTCAGTCTTTGAACAATTTGTTAAGTCAATTTGCTCAAACTCTTTGATTCATTATGAGCGAGTCATTGAATCATTCATTCAACCGATTTTTTTCAAACACATTGATTCATTCAGGAATGGAAAAAGTCTTTATGAAGGAGTCATTGTATCATTCATTTAACTTCCTCATTCAAATTAATACATATTTGTATTTACTTTCAAAAATACAAAAAAACTTTCAAAAAATACTTTGACACATCGGTAATATATTTCGGCATACTCCCTTAAAAGTGTGTAAGCTCAAAATTTGATGTAAACTTTTAGTTAATACATTTTTTACTTGCATATTTTGATTCACATTCTTCAAACATTTTATTGCATTTTTACATAAACCGAAGAACTGAACATTTTGTCAGAACTTCAAGTAAATAGCGTTATTTACTTGTTTACTGGTCTAATGTTCAGGTTTTATTAATCCCTGAAATAAACTTTTTTTTCTTCAGAATTGCAATTTCTAATTTTTCTTAAGCAAAAACATCATGATTTTTAATCCCCGTCTGAATCACTGTAGTTCAAACGAGGGTGTCTGTACTTGACCGGGCAGGCTTAGGCCCAATCCCAATTCTATTTTATACCCCTTCCCCTTCCCCTCCGCCTACCCCTTCCCCTACTCCTCCACCTACCCCTTCCCCTTGTCCCTTGAAACAGTGTCAAGGGGCAGGGGTGAAACTATTCCCATAAGAATTGGGACACCACTACTATGCCGTCACACGTCATCATACGTCGTCTAGCTCCTACAATACACACACCTATACTGGTGTGCTGGTGTGCATTAGAGCCTTTAATTACTGTTCTATATTAATGTGCTGCTTACTGACACACACACACACACACATCAAATATCGTGCAGCTCACACATCCAGTAGCAAAGAAACTTGTCAACGCTGCCCCACGACTTTTATTAATAACAGTTTAAATCCTGAATCGCTACATTATATTTTCCAGCAACGAGAGGATAAAATCGCTGTTTTTTTAAGTAAACTCACTCTAAAAAGAGAAACGCACAGACGCGCATACGTGCAACTTTCATCTCTCTCTCTCTCTCGAATTGGCAATATTTGAGAAAAGGGTTTAGCGATTTCTAATTATTGGGGGGATAATAATTTATCCCCCCTCAATGTCTACGGTGGTTATCGCCCTGATCAGACATGAATATATGTTGTGACACTATCGTGTAGTCTATAATGATATGACGTTAGTTAGCAAAATTAGCGATTTTTTGCAAACATTTCTTTGAGTAACATGACCGTAAATATGAACTCACGATTGAATGTAACATAAAACAAATTATGACTTTTCACATGACCGTAAATATGAACTCACGATTGAATGTAACATAAAACAAATGATTACTTTTCGTTAAAATCTTTATTAATGCCAAAAATGCTTACATTTATGTGTCTTTTTGTTCGCTCGGGCAGCCATGCTGCCCCTGAAGCCGGTTTACGCTGAGATAATTCATACCCCTTCGTTTGAAGTGTGGTCCCGAAAAATCTTCGTTTGAAGGGCTGTCTGGCCCTTCCCCTACCCCTACCCCTCCAACCAAAAGAGAATTGAGACACCCCTATCCCTTCACGTGAACGCGTGAAACAGAAGGGTAGGGGAAAAGGGAAGGGCTAAGGGGTAGAATTGGGATTGGGCCTTAGTGTGACCCCAGCTTGAAGTTTGACCACTGTTAGATATGCCTGAGCGTGTGCTGGCTTGGCGTCCAGCACCAGCCCGGCTTGTTTTGTAATCCGAGAAGACAGGCACATTTGCTTTCGCAATGCCTGTTTACCGGCTACTGATCAAGTGTCTAGGGCCATCCCCTCAAAACCAACTCAACGGAGAGTACATGAACATCTTCCACTGCTCCACATACCTTAAGCTTAAACATAAACAGGCACAGTGACCTTGTCAAAACCTTTCTAGGACTGAGCATATGTAGGTGTGGCTGTTGATGTGTACTGAATAGGTTACATGATTAAGTGACACCCTAACCTTAACTATAAGGCAGGGGGATTGGGTTTGTTATTCCCCTAATACCAAAAAACATATTAGTCAACTGCCATGCTTGTCACAAGAGCCACAGGGGTCTCTGGAGGCTAAGGGGACTTCCAATAACAACAGCACAGACACCCAAGAGACCAATTACTTTCATTAATCCCCCTCCAGAACAGGGAAAGGTTAGCTCTATTTATAGCCAAGAACTGTCTGTTGTCTGTAAATGTATGGATTCCATATATAAAAGTTGTTCATCACCTATCTTGATGTTACTACTGTAGGTAGTGCAGATTATTATAAATAATATTTGGCAAAAAAAAAAAAAAAAAAAAAAAAAGCAGTGAAACTGTCATATGGCCATTTAAAATCAGCATTACATCAAAACTGATCATATTTACTTTCACAATACACATTAATTTTACAAATAATTTTAAATGTGACCTTTAAACATTTTAATGATATAGATAGAAGTCTTTAGCAAAAGCAAAAGCAAAAAAAAAAAAAAAAAAGAAATATAAAATTCCAGGAATCACCAGGAAGTTGTGCTGCCTTCATGTGGTATCTGAATTATTGTAAATATGAATTTCCTAGTCAGAAATTAGACATGAGCGGCCTCTCAGGTCATATTTATAACTGAGGAACTAAAAGATCATTTTGATACAAGAGCTTCCAAGTTGGACAGGCCCTAAGAATCGTCAGCCAGCTGAATATCATGTGCAGTCAATGTTTTAATGGTTACTAATCAATGGGACGCTACATTTTATTAAAAACCTGTTGGATATTGACTTAATATTTTCTATACATTTTGGCTTTAATAAGATTTACCCAGGAAATAATAAACTCATGAATGGGCCTTCCACCAGGAGTCCTGTTCTTTCCGACAACAAAGCACTTGAACGCAACAAACTCGTAATTACAACTTCAAGTGGGAAGTTTCCAAAATCACATGAAGGCAGCAGTAGACCATCCTGACTTACCAGAGACCGCCACTTCCTATCCATTAGAGACATACTTCCTGAGATACTAGACACGATGCTTTACTTTTGCATTTGCAGGAGGGAGATGGTATGTCTTTCTTCTGGGCGCAGGAACCTCAGCAAAATGTCCACCAGGAGCAGCTGGAAAATGCAAGAACCCAGCCTCTCAGCTTGTTTATTGAGGAAGAAGAGGAGGAAGATGAATTTATGGTGGATAGCTGGAGAAATTCAAATCCATTTCACAACCAAATGTTTGGAGAGGATCTACAGGTATGACAGTGAACATGTTTAAATTTATTTTAGTATTTGTCCTTTCCATCAGATTATTTTTGACTTGCAGAGAAGTACATTGAGCTAAAATACTAAAATACTGTGAATAGGACACAAAATACACTCAAAATTGAGTGAACATATTGTGTGAAAAGTCGATTTTGGCAGTGAATTTATTGACCTTAATACTGCTGACCTTTATGACGTTCCATATTCCAAAGCAGTGCACCATTGCCGTCATAGTTTGACCTTGACAGAATACAGGGAGATATGAGTTTTATTAAACAATTTCCTCATGCTCACTCGCTCCTCTTTCAGTTGTCAGGTGCAAGGGACAACGCTTCTCTTTCCATTGACGAGTGCTTACAGCTCATCGATGCCAACTTCCCCTCAGAAGGAGATCCAGAGGTAAAAACTTAATCTAGAATGCAACATTTCAACTTTTTACAACAATTTGTGCAGCAGGAATTGTTTTAGAGCTGGTGAGAGACAAAAAAGAAAATGTAGGCTTTCCAAACTTTTTAAAACTTTTAATTTTCTCAGTTGACAGGTCCTGATGTACAGAATGTAGGAGAACATGCACTTTCCGAGTTTCAGAGGCCACTCATGTCACCCTTGTTGCCTGAACAGGAATCAACAACTTTAGAGCAACAATGGCTAGATGTTTTGGCCATCATGGAATCACAAGTATGAAATGACAAACATCTTCCTGTCAAGTCCCAAAGTTAATCAGTGCTTTGAAAAATGAATGAACATATGTGACATGCTCTGTCATTTTGAGTAATAGTCGATTGTGGAGAAATGCGGTTTATAAGAGTTTCGGAACAAAATTCAAGAATGAAATGCCGTTTAGAAACTATTGTCTGTTTTTGGAGTAAAACAAACTAATCATCAAAGATATACACTTTTTTTTTTTATTGACTACTCAAAATAAGTTTCTAGGTCAAAGACTTAGAATATATGGAGCAGGTGACATGTTTTATTGACCAGGAAGTCTGAAAACTCGATTTGACTTATCTTTACAGGACATGGATACAGCCGAAACAATAAACGATTCTACTTTCAGTAACAGTGATTCAGACAGAAATACTGGATCAATGGAAAACTTTATTCATCAGGATGTTAGCCTTCACCAAGCCACTCTGCCAAGATCCACTGAAGCACAAAACAGTGTCACCATGGAAGAAACCTGTTGCATAAACAACAACTCCATGCCAAACATTAATTTGGACACTTCTAATGCAGAAGCTTTTGAAGACTCTGATATCATAGACCTCCTTCTGACTACTGGGACTAGCCTGCCAAGCCCTATAGATCCTCTTCTTGAGGAAGCCATGCTTGATGAGATGGAACTAATGGATTTGGCTCTGGAAGAACTTAGCCAGGTACAGTCTGAAGAGCAAAACCCAGCAGATTCTGACTCTGGTTTATCCCTGGACTACAGTCAAAGCCCTGCCTCTCCTAGTGGATCTGAATCTTCCAGTTCCTCCTCATCTTCTTCATGCTCTTCATCACTGTCCAACCCAACCCCTAGTTTGATGCACGAAGAAGTCGCTGTGGGCTACACCCATATCAAGGCAGAGGATGGCGCTGTGGGCGGGTACATGCCAGAACAAACCAAAATGTGTCAATCAAGCTTTTTGGAAGCCAGACAGTTCCATCGCCTTCCTTGGCTCGAGCACATCGGACACGATCATACCTACAACCAACCTCAAAGCCAGAGGAAACCTCCAAAAGATCTTTCCGACGAGTCGCCAAAAAACAAAGTGCTGGATCATCTTTCCAGCCGAGATGAGAAACTTGCACGTTTGATAAATATCCCGTTCTCCAATGACCGCATCGTAAACTTACCCGTCGATGAGTTCAATCGCTTGCTAGCCAAATATCATCTCAATGAGGCTCAGCTTACGCTTCTCAGAGACATTCGCCGCAGGGGTAAAAACAAAATGGCTGCTCAGAACTGTCGTCAGAGGAAGCTAGATGTCCTGCTGGGATTGGAGTGCAGTGTGGATAGCCTGCGACGCCTCCGGGCCAAACTGCTCAGGGAAAAGTCTGAGATCTTGCGTTCCATCAGGGAGATGAAGCAGCATCTTAATAGCTTGTACCAAGAGGTTCACGAGAGACTAAGAGAGGAACAGGGACTGCTGTACTCTGACAACTTTACGTTGCAGCAAGACAGCACCAGCCCTGTAACATCACAGCGCAGATCAGATTCACACTCCAGACGCAAACTTAGCAAGAAACAAAAACACAAGAAGTGAGATGGAGGACTCATGCTATGACTAGGCTCAGGAAAAATGCTCTCTGTTGTGAAGTCCACCTGCTGGTTTTCCACAGTTCAATGGGAATTTGCACCAAGTAGGTTATTATTACCCAAGTGATCATCCTTGATGATGTATTGTACTACATTATCATAACATTACATAATGTATTGTACATAATGTATTGTAGGCACATAGTAACACAAAGTTTTGATGTTAAAGGGCCACATCAAGAGTTTCCATGATCTTTTATTTTAAAGGCCTTTATATATTCTAAAAACCTACTGTAATGGATAGCAAAACTGCAGTGTGTGCGCAAGACAATGCTCAACGCTGTTGTCCATTTCACATGTACAGAGAAGGTGAAAAATTCTCATTCAAGGAGCCGTTTCACTCAGATATACATCATAATAGGAAAGAACAGTTGATTACAACTTCTGTTTCACATCCAGTTTATAAACCAAACTGGGCTACAAGAACATAAGGAGTGTCTGAAATTGTTCCCAAAGTCAGAAAACCAAAATAATCCCATGTTAGAGCAGAAAATGGTCAATTATGCTTGGAATCCAAGCACTGAAACAAAGTTTTAATGCATTTGAACTACTACTAAAGGCCAAAGTTTACCGCTTACAGTAGCTGTTTCCATCCACCTATTTTTATGCGCATTTTGGAGTATCACATAAAAAACGCTAGATGGAAATGCCAAGATGCGCATAAATTCTAAAAATGCGCATAAAAAACGTATGCGCACAACTGAGAAGGCCAAACTTTTTATCCGATAAGAAAAAATGTGCATAAACTACAATGGAAACACATTTACCGAATAAATTTCACCATGCACGTCAAAAAAAGTCATGTGACTTTGCACGATGGGACGGGATAACTTGACTAACCAGCGGAACGATCTCATTGAAATGTTGTTTTGGTCGTTCTGAAATGCCAGAGCAAAGTCTGTCATCAAAGTATTTCTGTATAATTGTATTACACGACTGCATTCCCAAACAGCAGCATCCACCTCCGAAAGCAATGACCGCATTTATTGTGTTTCATCTGCTCGCACTGAGGCGCAAGTAGGGCTGTCACGATTATGACATTTGGCTGACGATTAATGGTCTAAAAATAGTCACGGTTATTACGATTAATTGTCTGTTTTAGGGCTTTGGCGGTTATGACGATTATCGCGATTGTCTGTTATGGCTTTCATTATATAATTGTGATTAATTTAAGGGTTCAGTAAATAATTATGATGTTATCTTTTAATCTTTTTTGAGTTATTATTTTGCAGTGTAAGATTACATAGAGTAGTCCAAATTCTAAGAATCGACCAATACCGATCCAACACCAGCGCTATTTTATTTCTACACCACTACAGAATATCAGTACTGTGTTTGTGGAACTAATGGTCACTCTTTTTTAAACTTTGTTAAACACAATCCACTAAATATTCACTTCCTATATAACTTCCTATCACTATATAAGCTATGAAATTAAACTAGCTGACTATAATTTAGCAGCAAAAACTATCTTGAAAAAAAATCTTTGGTGCACATTATACAATTTAAACAAGTTTATTCTGTTAACTATTTGTATTCTTACAAAATACATTCATGAAAATAAGATAGAAATCATGAGAAAAAGAAAGGCTTCTAATAATCTTTCTGTGTGCAAAACTTTGATCATGTGAAACGCTTCAAACAGTGCGGCACAAAGCTCTTATGCACATCCAGGGTGCAGAATGGTGCACTTGAAGCAACATAGAGTCGCAGCGCGCTGCACTCCACACGGTACAAACAAAGAGAAGAGAAATGAGAGAGCAATGAACTCCAGCAAGATGTCATTTTATGCGAATCCCCAGACCTTTATCTACACATCAAGTATTATAATGGGAATATATCATCTTGGAGAGAGAGTTTTACCATGCTGAGTGTCATAACTGAACGTGACGTGCTGTTTGAATGCTGAGCGGGGAATGACTGACAGCTGCAGCAGAAGGAAGATGAGTTTCTGTAAACTTAAATTTAACAATTTAAATACAATTCTGTCCCTCACATTAAGATATGGAATGGCTTCAGATGATATAGGCTATACAGAGCATGAAAAGCAAATTGGTGCTTTTTTGTTTCTTTAGGTGTATGACTCCCCCTTGTGCTGTATGAAAAGCACAATAATCACGTTAGATAAAATAATCGCGATTAGACGGTTATTTTAATTATCGCGACAGGCCTAAACGCAAGTAATTTATTATATGAAAATTATTATATTTAGTGGCTTTGCCTACTTTTCTTAGTGATAGGCAATTTAGTGCCAGTTTATAAGGAAGTGACAATTTTGTTCTCTTTGACTCGTTGGATGGAAATTATGCTTTATTCGCAAATGTTTTATGCGATATTCCAGTTATGCGCATAAGTTAAATTCGAATCTTTGGATGGAAATATAGCTAGTGTGCGTGATGCAAAGTTTCTTCACCAAAATATAATGCGCGTTCTGTACATGCATGTCACACATGCGCATTGACTTGGTTTTTGCACTAATCAGTTGTTCCACAAGGTGGCAGCACTGGCCAGGGCGGTTGTTTCACAGTAGAAAATGAAACTGAAGAGATGGAATGACAACAAAATAGCGGAGACTGCAACAACAGACGGCCACATTGACAAGCATTTGTGTGAGAGTGTTATAAGAAAGCTACAACTTTAGTTCAAAAAAGCAGTAGCCCCTCACTGCAGAACACAAGATCCAGGGGGAGTGGTTGGATCCACATCTAAGGGGTGGAGATTGGTAGGTTTAGGTGTATGTAAGGTGGGAGGAGTTGGATCTGGATCCAACCACACTTCCTGGATCTTGTGTTCTGCAGTGAGGACCATCTCCAAAAAAAGTACAAAGACATTTTATCGGTCTTAACTTCAGGAGAAAAATACAGCAGACAGTGGACAAATACGAAGCTTTCTAGAGTGCATGTGTCGTCCGCCTGCATTCGTGCATGCTATCAAATGGAGTATACTTTGAAAGACTATGCGTTTGACTGTATGCATACGTGCACGGATACTTTGCGCTTTACTGGTATAATAAAAGTGTTGGTTTGCCATCTCATTACAGGGAGCACCTTCATGCCATGTGAGCTTAATTTTGGAATAACATTCACTTAACAAGACTGTGAAGTATTTTTGACCCACAATGTTTTGAATGAACTGGAGTTTTGTTTTTGAGTATGTGTGGGTTTTATCAGAATTTATGTTAAACCCAATTAATTGATGTTTTTTTTATTTTTATTAAATACCAGGTCTGGATTTGATTTCATGTTTTAAAAAGCCTTGTAAATAATCTAAGCCTTTTTATATTCAACTGTTTATGTACCTTGTGTTAAACATTTTGCAGTGAATTCATGTTCTTGGTGACAAGCTGGGATTGTTCTTGTTTCAATTAAAATATATTTACTGTATGTAATTTTCAGTTTCATTTTTTTGTAAAACAGGCTTACTATAACAAACTAAATTTCTTATAAAATAACCTTAATAATAAAACAGAATTAATAAAACAAAATGTTTATTTTAATGAACAAATAAACATTTCCCCTTGAAAATGTGAAAATGAAAGAAAGTAACATGCTTTTAACAGTACACTTAAAAAGAGAAAAAGACAATCAGAAAGGAATATAATGCAGTCACATTACTGATTGTGTACAACTAAAAGTACATCAGGCTCCTCCGGTACACAGAAGTTTATGCCACTACCAATACCATACTTAGCAAAAAACAGTATCCAGTGACCCAAGCACTATTTTAACCATTTTAAAAACTTTTTGAAGATATTGATAACATTTTAAAACTCTAGCATATTGTCAATACTAACATGTTTATGCTGGTGCAAAGGTGATACTAAAAGACCTGACCTGTAGCATGATGTTATCAAGTTTTTTCACCTTCACTACACATTTACATATGTCTATGATAAAAAGATGCCTTGAAGCAGTGTAGTACATTCTACTCATTGAGCACCGCCGAAAAAGAGGGTAAAACAGCCAAGTGTCACTTTTCATCAATGTTTTCTAAAGTATTTACGAGCCAGGTCTGGCAGACCTTGATCAGCCTATAATACTTGAAAGATCAGTCTGAAAAGCTGGAATCTAAAGAGCACATTTCCTCTTCACACAGTAATGCAACTGATTAAACACACCGACATCTAATAGTTAAAAATAAAAAAGGTTTATATGAGATTATGGGACATGCAGTTTACTAAGCTGACTAGAAAGTTATAAAAAAAAAAAAACACCTTATGAATATATATATATATATATATATATATATATATATATATGCATATGCAACAGATATCCTCAAATGGTGAACAAAAAAGATGAGAATACTGTATACATGGTGAAATACTGCTAACAGCAAGACTGCAATACACAGCACTTTGCTCACTAATAAGGTGACAACAGTTTTGACAAATGTATTTACACAACAAATGACTTGAAGATGAAGTCTAAACAAATGAGGAGAAGAAAAAGAAGGCTTAAGAAATTGGGCCATGCCGCCTTACAAGACAAAACACAGTAACTACACACACAAAACAGAGTTTTGAACAAACTATGCTCAGATTCAGAGAAAACAGTGTACACACATCAAATTAATCACACTGTGAATTTTTTGTTTTTCTTCTCAGTTTTAATTGCTGTGTACTTACTGTGTTTTAACTTAGGGTGGCGTATTACACAGTGAAATGTTCCAATTTAGACTGAAAAAACAGAAGGTATGAGGATGTGCACATAGGATTCACCACATTTAGCATATCATACCTCATCAGACGTCAACCACCTTTTTATCAGCCGGGAATAACTACTGAGCAACTACTGCAGCATATATACACCCCATTTCCCATAATCCATCAGAAAGAGAAGCAGAGGAAATACAGTAATCCTGTGTTTCTTACGGTGGTCAGTATTCTGACTAACATTCACTTCTGCCCACTAAAGATGACTCCACGTCTGCATATCTTGCTCTGAATATATATTGAGTCCAGGTTTTATGGCATTGAGAGTAAAAGAGCTTTTGGGTGTCTGTTTCCCCATCTTTGAACTGCCCATATCCCGAATTCCCCCCACCCTGCCCAAACTAGTCTAACACGGCCCTGACCTGCCACCGCTCTCGTTCTCCCTCACAGGCCTAGTTTTTGTCATCCTTCTTCTCTTCTTCCTCAGCAGGGTAGGAGTGCCATGTCAGTCGCTCTTCATAGAATGAGATGACCACCTGTGGGCACTTCACATTGGCCTCTTTTGCCGGAACGAGATCTGCCTCGTCAGAGCTTTTCCTGTAGAGAAGAAGCAGGGGGAGAATGATTAAAGGAACCCCAAAATGAAAATGAATTCAAAAACAAAACGGTCTCCAGTTTATTAATTAATGTCTTGTGAAGTGAAAAGCTTGTGTTTGAAACAAACAAATCCATCAATGCATCTTGTTTTCAAACTGTTGCTTCTGGCTAAAATACTGGCTTGAAACAATTATTATGCAGTCCAAAATCCATAATAATGTTATCCAATATCCAATGTAGTCCTCTCAGATTAAAATCCACTGACATATTTGTTTAGAACTCTTTTTGCTTGTAAACAGTGCTTGATCAGTGCATATTTCTCTCCTGATTCAAGATGACTTTTTCACTGGAGAAAGCGAATTAAAAAAAAAATGCATTTATGAAAATGGATAAAGAATTTATTAAAAACAAGCAGCCTTTTGCCTCACAAGATGTCAATTGGGATGTTTTTATTGGCTGTTTATCGGGCTGCCATTCTGACGGCACCCATTCACTGCAGAGGATCCAGTGGTGAGCAAGAAACGTAATGCTAAATTTCCCCAAATCCATTCCAATGAAAAAGCAAATTCTTCTACAGCTTGGATGGCCTGACGGTAAATACATTTTCAGCAAATTTCATTTTGGGTTAACCATTCCTTTAAATACAAACGCTTCAAATAATGTAATTTAGCCAGAGGCATCTGGCCATTGGCTCAACATGCCAAATAGCAAGTTTCATAATCTGTATTGAAGAAAAGAAAAACTAAACTGGGTGCGTTTCACAAAAGCATCGTTGGCTAACTATGGTGGTAAGTTCCATTGAACTCTATTGGTAATGATGGAACTTGCGACCATAGCTGCTTTTGAGAAACATACCCCTGGTTGCCAGATCTGAGGGTGTCATGAGTATGAATGTGCACACAAGAACTCAAATACAACAATGTTTTAAAGGTGAAGTGTGCTACAGTAAAAGCTTAAAAAAAAAAATGTCTCCGGTCATAATCGTATGTTAATTATGCTAAACATGCCAACAAAACCCTGCTTTTTTTTGTGTGAACATCCAGCTTAGTCCAAAACAGCAACACTGGTATCTGGAGTTCGGGATCTGATGTGTTTGTTTGACCAAAGGTGGGGAGTGTTAATTATTTTCACAATTCTATTTTGTGATGCCAGTAATGCACATTTCACAAATCTTAATCTTTACATACCATTTCATTAGAAACATGAGCTCGCCGCTGGAATCTGTGGCTCCAATGATGCGCTCTGGTTCTAACCCACGTGCAAAGCCCCTCGGCTTGTCTTGCTGCAAAACACAAGGAAACTATGTCAGTATTTTATTATTCACATGCAGTAAAGGTTTCTTCTCAGTCTGAGAAAGCATAAACATTTGTATTGGAAAACAAAAATAAGGAAGATATCCATTTTTTGAAATGCAACCAACATTCAGAGCTGCCAACCTTTGAAAAGGGGGGTGGGGGGGTGATACCGGGGGTCATATAGCCTATTCCTACATTACTTGAAGCTCCTTGATGGCTAATGTCAAAATCGTAATTGCACAATGTGCAAAATGCTAGAGTTCATGTTAAATATTTTTCTGCACTCAGTTTGTGATATTCCTGTTATATAGTATTTTAGAGTAAACAGTAGGAATGCAACAATACAGTTAGCCCAAGGTACAATAAATACCTGTTTTTAGTTTGGTTCTGATGGTTTGGCACAACGGAGTACTTTTTAGCGATTTTAAATGCTATTTAAAAAAAAAAAAAAAAAACTCCAGTAAAAATAATGTTCTTTTTAGCAGCATCATATGACCCCTTTAAAACTTATTTGATAATCAAAATTACATATTTACATATTACATATGTTTTTTCTTGTGAAAATAATTTTCTCATTCCTTAAAATAGCTTGAATGCAACTCTACACCCTTGCCTCATTTACTATATGCTGATCTTTGAATATGCAAATTTGTCCCGCCTCCACTCAGTCACACTAGCCAGCGTCTCCTGATCCACTGAACTGTAGTAAACACAAAACAATGGCATACACCGGATAATGACTGATAAAACTATCTTTTTACTAGCGGACAACTACAGTGAATACTGTAACATTCGTTAAAGTTACTTACTTGACGATGTTGTGTCCTAAAATGCCTTGAAGACTCGAATACAGCCGTTTGTTATTCTTAATTTGCGCCCGCGAACATACACGTGTGAAGTGCAGATGCCGATGCGGGAGAGGTGGGTCTGACTCCGTGCTACTTTTACACTGTTGCCACAGGTTATAATGCAAGTTAGCGGTTCTAACTTCACATTAAACCACAGCTTCATGGGTTTTTTGCTTGAATTTATTTTTGGTTTTGTGCTGGTATTGGTATATTTTGCATGCTAGTGATAGGAATCGATCCCTTGACGTGATTAGTTATTGGTTTGTGACGTAGCAAACCGAGGGCGGTTTCAAACCGTATTTCTGGGTCAGCCTTTGGGAAACTACAGTTTTAAGGAGAAAATACTCCGCAATGGTGTTGATTAATAGATTGGCACATGGTTTGTCTAAAGGCATATTAAAAACACCATATAGACAAATAAACATAAAAAAAAACTTGATTTTCACTACAGGGGGATTTTCACTATGAGGTCTGAGTTTGGCAGGTCTGCAACATTTAATGCCATGACTTTATGACCTTGAGAACTTTGTAAAGGCCTTAATATGTGAAAGGGCGAATTAAGACCTTTTAAAATAATTTTAAGCCACAGAACCCCTGTATTCATCTTTTTTTCTTCATGCATCACATCTCACAAAAGGTATTTGAAAAGGAGCACATATAATTGATAAAACCAAAAAAAAAAAAAAAAAAGTTACATTTAAAAGTTTGTTGGTCTGGTAGTTTTTATAAAAAGCAAAACCTGGGATATAAGTGTGCACAAAATTGAATAAACACCTAAAAGTGCCTGGCAAATGCTTAAATCTAGTATAAGTATGTACACAATCTTATGTAAAGAAAGATAAAGAAAGGAAATGTTTAAAAAGAAAAAAAAAACATGCATATTTTATCAAATATATAACTTGCGCTACAAGTCTACAAAATCGTACTCATTTAAGGGAATGATTAAATCTAACCTCATCTTTCCTCTTTTTGTGCCGGCTGTCTTCCCCACCATCTGTGTCAGATTCTCCTTTCCTCTTTCCACTAGACTCTTTCTTGTCATTTGGTTTGTGTTTTTGCAGGTACTCTGCAATGAGATCAGGACAGTCCAGGTTGTCCTGTGGCTCCCATGTGTTGTCTTCACTAAGGAAAAGGGAATATATTCTCAACCATCTTTTTCATTGGAGAAGGGCTGGACCACCAACCAACACCAAAGGCTATATATTTATTAGCAAACCATTTATTCACCCAGAGATCTTTATATAACGATAAAATGACCAACATGTTTTTTAGGACTCAAAGCTCCTTGCCTTACACGAATGCAAAATCTTGCAGATATTAGTTACTTACTCTGAGAAGCCCTTCCACTTGAGAAGGAACTCCACTCTGCCCTTTACCACCCGTCTGTCCAGAACCTTCTCCACCACATATTCTTCCTCTTCCTCTTCTACCACCTCCTCCACCTTCTTCTTGGTCTGCTTCTTCCCAGCTGTGGCCGCCAGCTTGCTGTCTGCAGTGAAAGAGGGCAGTAAAGAGGAAAAGGGTCAGTCTTTTCTATGGAAAAATCACATCTTTCAGTATTTAAACAGTAAAAAACAAATGAAGTGGACACTATGGGGCTCAGCAGAACAAACACACACAGTGACACTTCACAAGCAGGGGGTCGTGCACAGAGAGGAAGAGTGATTATTCGTGGTTTATTTTGAAAAAAAGGTATGCCATGGTCAAAGTCTGTTGACAAATCTTCACACATCTTTTTGCTGTATCCGAGACATTTTGACTGCTGTGAAAAACCCACAGCGCTTTGTGAGGAATTCTTGCTTTTGAGAACAAGGTCAGAAACTAAATTCAGAAAAGACATCAAAATATTTTAGGGTTTCAGTTTCACTGTCCTCAAAGGGATAGTTCACCCCAAAATTAAAATTCTGTCATCATTTACTCATTCTCATGTTGTTCCAAACCTGCATGACTTCTTTTCCTCGCAAAAGATAAGACACCTTGAGGAATGTTTCAACTGTTTGCCAACTGTTGCCCATACAATTTAAGTCAATGGGATCCAAAACACTGCACCCCAATGTCTTCTTTTGTGCTCCACCGAAGCAACAAATCACATTGGAATGAAATGACATGAAGGCGAGCCAATGAGGAAGAAATTACATTTTTGGGTGAACTATCAACCTATCTACAAGTGCAAGCATCTGAATTATATAACCATGTAACAGACATACCTTAAGCTGCTCAAACAATCGCGTCTTAAGAATCAGCATGATCACAATGTTAGCATCATATTCCAAGCAGATCAAATACCAGTTTGAACAAGAACCATAACCACTTGACGCTTAACTTTAACAGACCAATCAATCAGGAGATACTGGCATCAACCAATCAATATTGACTAATGTGCTCAGACAGGCTCGTCAATTAAGTATACACTACCAAAACAAGTCTCTTATTCTCACCAAGGCTACATTTATTTGATCAAAATACAGTAAAGGCAGTGATATTGTGAAATAATATTACAATTTAAAATAAATGTTTTCTGTTTTTATATATTTTAAAATGTAATTTATTCCTGTGATGCACAGCTGAATTTTCAGCATCATTACTCCAGTCTTCAGTGTCACATGATCCTTCAGAAATTAATCTTATGATATACTGATTTGATGCTCAAGAAACATTTCTGATTATTAATGTTAAAAACTGGTGTGCTGCTTCATATTGCTGTGGAAACTACAGTGATACATTCTTTTCAGGATTTTTTGTTAAAAATGTTTTGTTAAAATTTAAATAAAAATTACCAATTATCCTTTATTAAATTATCCTTTCTAGGGCTGGGTATCGTTCAAAAATGCTTGATATAGACACCGATACCTTGACTTCAATACCGGTTCCTGAACGATACTTTTTTCGATACCAATTTTATGAAAGTCTTATGTAGCATGATGCTACAGTTTGCATGAATGGTCACATAACACGCGCTTTCGGTCGTGTAGTATGAATGGACATCTGCATATGATCGGAACTCCATGCAGCTCCCGCGCTACTCTCCATTGGAAATGAATGACTGAATGACCTGGAATATTAACATCCATTTCATGATTGAAAATACCACAGCTACCGTGGAGAACAAATGCTTAATTACTAATCGACCACAAAAGACGGTAATATAGCAAACACATCAGTTCAGAAAAAAAAAAATGTACAATGTCTCGTTTGTGAACATTAATGCATTAACTATGAACTAACAAAAAGCAATATTTTCACTGCATTTATTGACCTTTGTTAATGTTAGTTCACCGTGCATTAAATAATGTTAAAAAAACACAACTTGCCACTTAGAATACAACTGGTAATTATCCTGATTTTAAAAATGTTATGAACAAACGAGACCTGTTGCCCAAATTTCATCACTTTGAAACACACTCATTCTGTCCTTTTTGTGCACCAGACCAGAACCAAACCTTTGACCTTATAAATCACCAGAAGCAGCAGCTCTATTAGTCACTGACAGATAATGGATCACATGGCAGATGAAACAGCGGTCATGGAAACAGACAACATCCCGTGATTTAACAGAAGTAATATCAAGGCTTGTTTATAAGACAGAAACGTTAAGGTGATCTGAACATCTAGAAATAACCCTCCCCCACACACATTTGAAACAAAAACAGTAGTGAAGGAGAAAGTTGTGAGACACCTGCGGTGACGCTGGGGGCATCACTAGCTGTGTCTGTTGGTTCGCTCATGATCGTCGAAGGGGCGGAGACTGACAGATAATGGATCGCATGGCAGATGAAACAGCGGTCATGGAAACAGACAACATCCCGTGATTTAACAGAAGTAATATCAAGGCTTGTTTATAAGACAGAAACGTTAAGGTGATCTGAACATCTCAATTGATATCAGGGAAAGAACAACACAAGGCAGGAAACAATTAAACAGCACTGTGGATAACAGTTCGGGGGCTCTAACAAATTGTGCGGCAACAATTAAAAAGTTTCACGTATACACAACAACGTTTTCAAAACGATTCGCGTTTACACATCCGTGAAAACGGCCAAAAATGCTGTGTTACCTGATGGGACACACTTGTAGTGTTAAAATGCAAGTGTTTACATAGCTTTATTTTAATTTTAAATACTTTGCATTTTAAAATCAACTTCTAAATGTCTTCCAGAACATGATGCATGATGGGATATACTAAGCCTCGAATAGCGCTCCGAAGCGGTATTCGAGATAAGTGTGTGTTTAGTGTGCGTTAAGGGCACTGCGCTCTGGCGTTTTTAAGACCTGGGATAGTCTTGCGCACTTACTTCCTGCCGCGCGCATGCGCTCTCAAGTGGCCAAGACCGCAAGTGTGGGTATTTGGACAAGGGGGATGCGTCTCCGCTGTTGGTTGTAATATTGGTGAAGTAAATCCACACTTTGCTGAAGAAGCGTTAGCAAACTTTTGAGCAGAAACAACAGTACCATGTACTCTGCCATTGTTGTATATGTTTGTTCGCGCTTGCCTTTAAAATCGACATGTACTGCGCATGTCTACATACCTAACACGTACTACGCATGCGTATGATGTCACCGTTTTCAAATATTCCCATATTGGGTGTTTACACGGAAACGATAACGGTGGCGTTTTCAAAAACTTGCACTTTGAAACCTGTTTTCAAAAATATGCGTTTTCAGTCCCCAAAATGCCGTTGTCGTGTAAACGGCCCCTAACACAGCTGCAATTGTTTTTTTTCTCTCAATAGAATGTCTTATTTGTCTATCATACATTTCTAGCATGATTCACTAAAATAGCATTCAGTGTAACAATAGTTTATAGGGATGCTCCGATCAGGATTTTTTGCAGCCGATACGGAGTACCGATTTCTTGTCATCGGCCGATACCGATTCTGATGCTTCAAGCTTTATATAGACTGTTTCATCAGGCGCACGTGCCTGGCCCGAAGTTAACTTCCGGTCTGTGTTTGTTTATCAGTCTGGCTATGGCGCCGGCTACAAACGCAGTTAAAGTTAAGGTGATGAGTAGACTGAAGTTGGGCTCAGGTGGTTGTGCTGTGGGAT